TTAATGTGTTTTTTGAAATAAAATGATGATGTAAAGATAAATTATATGTAATATAATCGGTGTAATTCAAAAGTTTGATTTTCTTTTGATTGGTCTTATAGATTGATTACCACATAGGACAAAAAATACTATTTGTGTACTATACCTAAGAATTGGCTCTGGAATATCTTCCAGCCTTATCAATATACATACACAAAAAAATTAATATTCCTTTTGACAATATGTTTCTCCACACCTTGCCCCCTAAAGCCTTCCTGTATGGGTAGCATTCTATATGTAATTGTGGCTTGTACATGAGCAGTCAAAATCTTCATTGATTCATTGATTCTAGGCAGAATATGGGGAATTTTATGGCAGAAGGTTTTGTAAAATACCATTTACATGTATGTTAATCAAATTCAAAATGATTCTGGCAATGTGTTCCCTCCATGTCCGGAGCAAAAAACTGTCAAAACCTGTTTTCATGCCATCAAGCAATTGTGAAGCCATGTAGTACAAGGAATGAGATGGTCACAAAAAAGTGGAGATGGATGTAGACAACCCTGTGCCAGCAACGCAGCACGGCGCAAAAAAGGCATTTACGGCTGCGTTGCTCCGCAACACGCAGCATACATGCCGCAACCTGTGTTACGTTGCGCCTAGCACCGCAACACAGGATAGGTAAGCCAAGTTGCACGCCGGCTTACCCGTCGCGCAATGCAACACACGCAACAGCACCAAAAACCCATAAAAACCAACGCTTTTGTGGACCACAACGCAAAGAGTGATGTTGCGGTTGGAAAAAATTTCTGATCCCAAGGGCTTTGTTGCGCGTTGGGGTGGCCTGCAACACTTATATAAAAGTTGTGCGACGTTGCGGCGTGTAAATTCCGCAACGCACCAGCAGCGCAGCGCGCAACAGCTGCATTGCTGGCCCAGGGTTGATGTAGATCAATGGCTAGCGCTTGAGTTTAGCATTGCCAGATGTGTATATATGCTGTGTCAGCAGAACTTGAAGAAGTTACAATTTAGTGGATGAAGTAGAATATAGAATGAATGAGATATTGCTGATATCAAGAAATTTATAATCCCTAATGTGTTATACCAGTGTCAGATACACATTAAATTAGATGGCCAATAAAGGCTTCCTACAAAAAATGCCAACTCACCTGAAGACCGTAGTGTATTGAAAAAGTGAATTGAATGTTGAAGTTTTCTAGATTCAATCTGTAACATTATACATAACACATTTCATGACATTGAGATTTGAAAACTTATGTTATTATTTCATTCTCATTTACTTAACATTACATATGTAGCTTTGTTTATGTCTAGGTTTTCTGTTTTTTTATCATCATTATTAACCTATGTACCATTTGAGAATAATCATGTTAAACCTGGAAGATCAGCAAATACGAGTCTCCCTTCCTCATCCAAGATCTTCTACTTACTTCTTGGGTGAAAGGTGAGTTAACTCTATTCAAGGGAATTGAAAGGTTCATAAGGTTCTGTTCTGAACTGTACCTTTCCCTGCTCTGACAGGTATGTATTTCATTTTAGTTTTAGTTTCATTTGATCTTGTTCATCTATTTCATTTTGATGTGATGGAATAAAAAGCTGATCCAAGATCTTCTACTTACTTCTTGGGTGAAAGGTGAGTTAACTCTATTCAAGGGAATTGAAAGGTTCATAAGGTTCTGTTCTGAACTGTATCTTTCCCTGCTCTGACAGATTGTAACATTGAATTGAATTGGTTCCTATTGAATCAATAGAATATTGTTACAAAAACATCAAAAATAGCTAATATAATCATTATGATAAAAGATGTAGTAAAAACTAAATGTGTAGTAGATTTTCCAGAAGATAATCCTGATGATGTTGAGTTTAATACTCTTGTTCTTCTTATTAGAAATGTCTAATGATTACTCACTGGATTTGTTTTTTATTTGAATTCTCTAATGAATTCTCATTTGATGATTTGTTCTTGTTATTTAAATCCCCAGCTTCAATCTTTGAATTTGTTTCTAATTTATTATTAATTGAATTAGATTTGTTCTTTTTGATCAAACTTGATTTACTTTGTAGGTGTAATATCTTGATTTAAAATTAAAGTTGAAGTTGAAGTAGATAAATTAGTTACAGTTGATTGTATGAATTTGACTGATTTAGTTTTAAGATCAAATCAATGATTGTTAATATTTGATGACTCACTTAAAGAAGAAGAAGTTTTTCTTAAAAAACTAGATGGTTGATTTGAATTTTAAGAAGTAGATAAGATTTCTAAATATAAAGATGGTTTTGATTTTGATTTGACTGTTGAATTCAAATTAGAAGACAGTTTTGATGTTTTAAAGAAATCTGATCTATAAAAAGATGAACTGAATGATGATGATTTGTTTTGTTGTTGTTGTTGTTGTGAATATGAATTTGAATGAGTGATGTAATGAAAGTTGGATTGATTTAAAATGTTATCTCCAATACTATTACTTTGCTTGATAATATGATTATTTGATTTGTTAAGAGTAGTGTTAGTTTGATGATGATGATTTGGTGAGTTTCTTAAATTGATTAATGAAGCTATTGCTAATAAAGTATGATGTTATTTAGTAAATAGTGATGATTTTGAATTTGAATGATTCAATTGGTTAGTTGTTGTTGTTTCATTTGCATCTGAATTTGAATTCAAATTGATAGTGGTAGTAGTAGTAGTAGTGTTGTTGGTTTGTGAGAATGAAGATGGGGCTTGAGATGGGAGCTTTGTTCAAACCTAACCTGGCCCTCTCACTTGCAAACACTTGGTCCTGGAGGAGTGTTTGCTAGGGAGAGGGACAGCAAGCACTTGGTCCTGAAGGAGTGTTTGCAAGGGAGAGGGACAGGTTAAGTTTGGGCTTTGTGAATTTCCACTTTCAAGTGGTTGAATCTCTTGACAAAGGAGGAAATGAGGCTTTTTGGGTATGTAGAATTGTCTGTACAGACTGACTGTTCAGTCAGGGCCTGAGATGACCTGAGCGGATCAGGTAGGCCTCCCTCAGGCTCCCTGGCTAAGCAATAAAACTTTAAGCTTAGGTAAGCCCCTCACACATGCATTTGCCGCACCCTCAGAGAGTCACTTACTGCAGACTTGATTTTTTTGGCAGAGGACTTCCAAGAATTAAGTACCCTTATGTACCCTTATGTACTTTTTTGACTTCCCTTCTACACCTCTCCACAAAACATTCCAAGATTCAAGTATGCTGGTCTCTGAAGCTTCCTACATGTTTTGGCTACCTCCATGTTGGTTCAATTTGAAAGGAATTGCACTCATTTTGAAATGTGGCATTGATATTTCACTGCTTCCAAATTTCATTGGATTAGGCTGTATGAGGCCATCACAACACAACATAAGGCCCATTTTTTACACAGCCCCCAAGCCGTGCAGGGTGGTCTGTGCAGCTTGAAAGTGATACCAAAATATGTAGAAAGGTTTTGAGACCAAAATACAAGAAAGCTGGAACTTTTTGTGGAGAGATGCAGAGGGGAAGTATAAAAAGGTACATAACAGTACTTAATCCTCGGAAGTCCTCCACCAAAAATTGCGAGTCTGTGATAAGCCCCTGTTCAAGGGCGCGGGAAACACGCTTGTTAGGGGCTTATGTTAGCTTAATAAAGCCTGAAGGAAGCCTGGATCATCTGCTCAGCTCTCAGCTCATGTTGATCATGTCTGATCACATAATCAACATGAACTGAACACTGTCAGTTTTGGAAGGAAAAAAGTTGAAAACTCAGAGAAAACTTGAAGTGCTTCATGCTCACCTCTATGTGAGCTCTTGTTTTGGCCCCTGTGAGTTGTAGGCACTTAAGCATGAGCAAAGTTTGATGTAGACACTTTTTTCATCAAAAATGGCACCTAAATTGTGGATTTGAGCACCAGTCCTCAATTGTAGGTGCAATTTTCCCATAGCCTTGTAAGAAATCTTAACTTGCAAGCCCAATGCTATAAAGCATTTATTTGATAGTTTTAGGCAGAGGTTTAGTCAGGACTGAAACAGTTTGATTCTGATCAACTGCTATCCACAGTCCTGACAGTGATACCAAATCTCCCAAAGCTTTTGTTTCATTGAATTCAAAGTATGACTTCTTCCATGAAATTGTTGTTTGCACATTTTTGACTCTTTTCAAAATATTTTGGGACATCTGCAATGTTCTTCAAAATCATCATGAAATATTATCAAGTCATCAATGAAAATTTTGTGCCATCCTTTTCTCAATTCTTTGCTGAACTCAATCTCCATCATTCTTTGAAAGAATGCAGATGCATTTTTTATTTCAGATAGCATTTGAACAAACTTGTATGTTTCTATATGACAGATTTTTCTGAGAAATCTTCTGCTTGTAGATTCTACCTGGTTTTGAAATCCTTTCAACACATCAATAATTGTATTGAGCTTGGCTTTCCCCATATTAATCAAAGCATGTTCAGTCCTGGATAATGGATATCTACCAGGCTCTTTGTATGTATTGAGAGCCCAAAAGTCTCCATACAGTCTTGATTTGCTGTTATTCCAGGCAATGGCAATTGGTGTGGTCACATCCACTTCTCCAGATCTGCCTACTTTTCTTACCACACGCAGTCTAAGGAGTTCATGTGTTTTCAATTTCTACCCAGTTTATAGGGCTAACCAGATAGGCAGCTTTGCTCAAAGTTGAAGGATAAGGTTTTTCAATTGTAAGTTTGATGCTTACTTGATGCTTTTCAATGGTACCTAATCCTTTTGCACCCAATCCAAACTTATCTCTGTATTGGTGGATAAGGTCAACCAGTTTATCCTTTTTGTCTCTTGTGAGTGTAGGACTAAATTTTGCTTCATTGATTTCAGGCATCAAATCGTCATTCTTCTTACACAAGATTTTCTCTACCTCAGTGAGCAAATATCCTACCAATATCCATCAGATATAAAAATGCTACTGTTAAATGTTACATCCACACCTTTGTAACAAAACATACATTTACTAAACCTCAAACTCAAAGTGTTTCTCTCTCGTTTCAATTCAAAAGTAATCAAACTTCATATTTGATAAACAAATACAACCAAATCACAATCATAAAAAACACAAAAGAAACCTTCATATCATTTTCACCTTTTCACTTTCTCACTTTTTACGTTGTTCTTTAATCGTCAATCCAATCATATCTCCATTTTTTAAATTCAAAGAAGCTAGAGTGACTTGATTAGCTAAAATCTTACTACCTAATCTTAACTGTTGTCGACCTACTGGAATCCCTTTCAAATTCTGCCAAACAAGAAAATCAAATCATCAGATCATCAATCTCAATTTTAATCCACCTAAACAAATCAAACTCACCAAAAGTTTATCTCTTAAAACTCCCACTAATAATGTGATCGGAATCTCATCTAACGTGATCTCACTTCCATCACACCCCCATTCAGGTTTATCTTCATAAACAGGTAATTTGATTAATATTTGAATCGGGTCAGGATGCATTTCTATCCATTGTTCTTCAGTAAACAATTGTGGAGCAACAGCCACCACAGGAAGTTCTTCTCCAACCTTCACTCGTTTTGCACCTGGTTGACCTTCCAATCCATTCTCGTCATCTGCTGGACGAGTTTGTCCACCACCACTACTACTTCCTGTAATACTATCAATTACCATTTGAGCGGTCATAGGTGTTAGTTGTCCTGGTGCTACCGTTCCACCCACACTCACACCCCCAGGAGGAGGAGGTCCGGGTATGCCGGCACCAAAGTCTGGTACGTTAGGTCGACCAGGTAAGCCAGGAGGTGCGAGAGTCGAAAATCCACCAGGAGCTAAGGGTGGTAAACCATTGGCTGACTGAGCTGGATTAGGCGATAGACCAGAAGCGGGATTTGCGCCAGCCATCCCATTTGGATCGTCAGCTGGGTTAGATGGGGGTAGCATACCGGGTGCAAGCGGAGATGCCACGGGGACCATTCCCTGTTGGGGAACGCCGAGGTTCATCATCGGTGGTGGCATCGAGCCAGACATCATAGCAGCTCGACCAGGATCAATAAGAGGGGGTCGGGCGGAGAGAGGTTGAGGTGCAGCAGATAAGGTAGCACCGCCGCCAAAGGATGGTTGTTGATGTACAGGTATAGGCTCGCCTGAGCCTGTAAGACCGCTAGTGATGTTTTGAATATGTTGCTGAATATGTTGCTGCTGCAGTTGGAGTTGCTGCTGTTGTTGAAGTAAGGTCGGATTGGGCTGCGGAGGTGTTGCTTGAGCAGGCATAGCACCTGGAAGCGGTCCTATTTGAGGTCCAGAATGTATCGATTCACCTGTAAGACCTTTAGAACGATGTAGAGCTTGAATCTGTTCATCAAGATTGGCACCAGTTTGATAAATATTTGTAATTCGTTCGCCAGTATTGATATGACCATCCCATGTATATTTTTCTTTGGCTAATTGTTTGAGTTTCTTTTGTTCAGCTTCTCTTCTCATCTTCTCTTCTTCTGTTACATTCTCTTCAAAGATATCTAATCTTGATTTGGCCAAATCCCGCAAAGATGAAGATACATCTGAACCCAGTGTTAACATATTTGAAGAACTTCGATTCAATTCAGTTGTTTGTTTCTTTTCCTTCCATCGAGGATCCAATAGCTCAATTCGCACATGCTCGGAAATCTCGTTGACATTGATTTGTTGACCACAAATTTGACACAGGGTAGTAATCACCTTGGCATTTTGAGCTTGCTGTTGTGCCGTCTGAAGTTGTTTGTTTTTCGGAACGTAGTCTTTTCGAATCTTCATTCCAGTCGTATTCAGCTTTTTGATTTCTGCAACTTGCTTACCCTCTGTCTTATTGTTATCCTCATCATCTCGTTGTGAATCATCTTGATCCTCAGCGGCTGCTTTAGCCTTGGCTTCTTCAGCTGATCGTTTAGCATCTTCCAACATTTCATTTGCCTCTTGATCATGACGTAAGTTGGTTGCATTCAGTTGTTCTTCATCGATCGTGCTCATGTCTTTTCCTTCCATTACCATCGCAGCCATCTTCTTTTGAGCAATCGTCATGTTTTCCACTTCACTGATACTCATCGGTGGTGGCAAGTCGATCACCTCATCATTCTCAGTAAATTCCACCGTACTAACCACAATGAAATCTTCCCAATCAATCTCATTAAACTCTTTCTTTTCCTTCTCTTCCTCAGTCGTCTTTTTCTTCAATTCAAGACCTTTGTAACGTTCCCATTTGATTCGACTTTCAACTTCCGTCATCACTTCTCTTTTACCAATGATAGTCCGTTCTTTCTGAGCTTGAGCAGCCTTTGCAACATCTAACCTTTTGCGATCAATGGCTTTTCCTCCAGCCAGGCGCTCGAGTCTTTCCAAAGTCTCAGGGGTCGGAATCAAGACTTTAGTATACTGTTCAACGAGTCGGTTGAAGAATCCAAATAGAGAATGAGCAGGTCTTAAGAAATCAAATTGATAATTCCGACTTTCACGACTACTGAGATCAGAAACGAATTTGCGACCAAGTCGAGCGGTGAAGAGCGCAGTAAGTTTAATGATTTCAAGATCTACCGAGTTTATCTTGGGCATTTGATCGGGTTCGATTAAGAAAGGTAGAGGTGCTGGTTCGGGTGGTTTGTCTGGATCCGCATCAGCTGTCACAGGTGCGGCTGAAGAGCTATTGGTAGCATTATTGGGTGCTGGTACATTGGGAACATCTCCATTTTTAATGCTTTGAATTTGATGTCGATAGTAGGCGTTGTATGCGTCATCAGGGCTTAGGAAAGAGAATCGAGAATCGGTCTTTTCTCGTTGACGAATTTTATCCTCGACTGATATTGAGAAGCAAAAATTTCCGCTGTTAATTTGATTCATCTGAACAAAAGCTTCAAACTATTACGTTTCTCAAGAGCTTCAACTTACAGAGTTGTGGGTTGGGATTCTTGGCAATAAATGCTGCCGTCTTATCAACAATAGCTATTCACAAATCCGATTCGAACAGGCGATCATAGTTAGTACGATGTTTGAGCAATTAACAATTTTCGAACAACATGTACTCACTTCTAATCTCAGGTGGAGGGTAAATGAGACCTTCGACATATTTTTGCGAATTAATGAGTTCGTTTGACTCTTTTTCTTGATTCTGATCTTGATTTGTTTCTCCATTTTCGATATCCATCGAATTAGTAGGTTCTACTTGATTGTTTCTATCGAGATTTGAATCGGCTTGATGGTTGATATCTTGATTAGATTCAGATGAGTCTTCATGAGTATTTTGATTAACATTATCATCATTCATGTTGATTTGTTGTTGATGATAGTTTGAATGAGATATTGTTGATATTGTTCGTTGTAGTTGACCTTGCTTGAGAAATGTGACCTTGAGCGATAAACCATGTGTCGGTCCTCGCGGATCCTTGCCCAAAACTTGTAACACTCAAATTAACTCAGAATTTGGTGAATAAATCCACCAATGACTTGGGGCAAAAGGCATCAAACCTCACAAAACCTGTCCTCTGCTTGTACCAGAATCCAGATCCATGACTCCAGAAGTATCGATCAACTCCATCGTGAGATGACCTTGTGTTCACGACTAAGTCTCTGATATGACCAGGTCGACTTTCTCTTGGATGTATGAACATTGAAAATGAAACCGACTTGTGTAGCTGTTGGAGCTCCCGGAATAGCCGAGTGTGTGTTAACGTGTTCCGAATTCTCTCAGTGCTGTCTCACAGCATCGTCTCCGTGGCGCAATTGGTTAGCGCGTCTGACTGTTATGCAGTGCAATCAGGAGGTTGGCAGTTCAAGCCTGCCCGGGGACGAACTTTTTGCATCATCAAAACATTGGATGAGGGCTGCAACTTCCCTTTCTTCCTCCTAATTTCAATCAACGATTGCTGAAAGGGACAGAACAGTTTTTTTGTAAAACCGCACAGTAGGACAATAGAATCCCAGATGCCAAAGCAGACGTATTTTATGAACTGAGCCAAGTAAAGAGATTGATTACTGATTCAATTTGATCTCTCAGTAGAGAAACAACAGATTACCGAGAAGAACACAAAAAAAGGAATGTCCATGCGTGTATATGTAACCAAACAAAGCAAACACATCCTATGGCCGTTGAGTTTACAGACGAGAACCAAATTGGTAGAGAAATCAAATGAAAGAAAAAGAAAAAAGCCTTTGAAAACATATATGTAAAGTCCATGTAGAATGAACACAGATTAAACAAACTTTGCACACACGAAAAGAGAGGAGAAGGAAGAACCCAGAAAAAAAATCCATGGAGACCAAAATACACATTAGTTATAGAGTGAAAAAAAGGTATTCAAGATATGTAAAACAAGACACCTAAAAAAGATTAAGTAAAGTTTTTCATACTTGTAAAAATCAAAGAAAAAGGGAAAGAAGAGTTTAAGTTTGAAAGAAAAAGATTGAAAGTCTGTACCCTTAGGCAAGAACTGATGTAGAGAAATTAGAAGATATATTGATTTATCTTGGTTGATTTCTTAAACCATGTTTTTGTGATTGAGAAGGTGGTAAAGCATAATGTCCATAAGATTCTCTTGCTGTAATACCAAATCCTTCTTTATCCAATGCAAGTGGTGGTGAATTCATGTCTAGATGACCATTACATCGAAGTGGATAAGAGACTACTGATTGAGGATCATCAAAGGCTGTAGGACAAAAACTTCCTCTATCGAGGAGATCATTTGAGATACGGGTTTCGTAATGTTGATTTGCTAATGCTGATGGCAAGGTATGAATCGGTGGAGGTCGTGTAAGGCTTCATGGTTGAAAAGAAATTCAAATATCAGTATCATTATGGACAAAAGATATCTGGGGGAGAAAAGACTCACCTTGATCTAACCTTTTCTCGATTCTTTTTCTCCATCTGAATCGTATCAAGTGGTCTTGGTTGTCTTTTTCCTTCTCTTACACCAAGATGTGATTCAGGTTTACCCAAGATAGATTTGAAATTTGTCCAAGAAAATGAATTTGAATTAGGTTTATCATCTTCAAATTCAGATGCCAGTTTGTTTAATTTCTGATCATTGTTATCTATTGAAGATAATCTTTGAGATTGATAATTATTTTTGGTCAGTTTTTCTCTTTTTACATTTAATCCTTCTTCACCCCAAAATGCTTCGTGTGTTAAATTTGCTTGTTCTTTTTTGATTTTTTTATGTTTATGACGAAAACAACAACCGATTGCAAAGATTAAAGCAAATACACATAATAGTATACCACAAATCCATCCAACGTTTGAAGCTTTCGTTTCTCTAAGTTGAGTTTCTTTCGAATGGGCCTCTGGAACTTTACTACCACTTGGAGTCGGTACAATCACGGATGCCTCGGATCCTTGTAATGATGGTAATGGTACAGTCTCAAGTATTGAAGTTGGTTTAGATATGTTACTAGAAAAGAAACTTGTAGGATTTGTTGATGTGATATTATTTTGAACCACGTTAGGAGTGCTGGTAGTTGTGATTGGTGACGTGCTATTCTGGGTGGGAATTGCGGAGGCGGGAAGGGAGGATGAGAGCGCTGAGGTTGTTACTTGAGTGTGATTCGGAGCCTGACGGGCCAAGAATCTTGAACGGCGCTGGTTCGGTTGTCTAGGTGTACTTGGACTTCTTTTCCGATTACGTTGAACCGGAGGAAGTGAATCAAGTCTATTGAGATTGGTGTCCAGAGTAATTGTAGCGCGTCGATTTGATCGATGAAGTGAGTTCATTTTTCTGGTGGGGGGGAGCTGAGCGGGAAAACTATGTATATATATAAATCTATAAAAATATTTATGGACAAGTCCTTTCACAATGACCGGTGTTTACAATAACAAAATAAAGGTAATGATCCTTCACTTATGAGTATAAACTGATTTTTTGAATGATCGTTAGACGAGAACTGCAATACGAAGAAGAATCAGCAACAATCTCAAGGGGGAAAGGGTGGCCAAGTCGAAATTTTTCAAGTGGATGCTCACCGAAGTATTTAGTAACAAAACTAAATATATATGTATCGACCAGGAATCCACAAAAAGATACTAACTGGAAGTAAGAAACAAATTGAAAAGACTTAAAAGGTATGAAGAATGTATACAGTACTCATGAACTCGATTCAGGTAAGAGGGAAAATTTGAATATCTAGCAGTGGGGGTAGGATGAGTGATATGTATGTCTGATCAATTCAGGAGCGCAGAAAGGTGGAGTAGTTGAGATCTCGTAGGTGACCAAATGATACTCGAACTTGCTAAATCGTAGAAAACCAACGCCACGAAAGCCCCGCTAAGTGAGTGAGGCAACCTGAATTAATTTGTTTGTAAGGGTCCGATTCCAAGGTCAACTCGCTTCCGTCTATGATCTCTGGATAGCACTATTTACTTGAAGGGATGCGCTATATGGTGATTTGGAGGCGGTTAAGTTTAGTAAATTGGTGACCACTTCCTGGCGAGGTAAATGAACACTTACCCTTTCCTTTTTCTCGTTCGAAAGGAGTGAAGCTGATCTATCCTTGAAATTTCATGTCTTACAAACATTCCGCGTGGCGCTCTCCACATGGGTTAGGAGATAACATTCCTCAACACTCCTGATCTGTACACTTCTCGCGTCTCCACCTGTTTCCTCCTTGGCTATGGTAACGAGATCACATGGTGACATGCGTGGATGGCTTCAGAAGGCAGTCCGGGTATAAAATCTATTCAAATCGGTGTGGTCAAAAATCTGCTCTGCCGATATGCATATAGTCAGACGGCGCGCGTTACGGTAAGTTGCCAAATATCGAAAACCCACAAGTTCCAAACTGCCCGGAGCCTTGGACTCTCACAATCTCAAGCGCCCTTAGCCATTGGTTTGCTCGTGCAAGATCAACACTGCAAGTGGGTTTGTAGGCAGTTGTGAAGTTGGGCAACGATTATTATCGTCAGACTCTGACAGTGTCTTTCCATCACTCAACGTGAAAGTTCTGTAGAATCATGTTTCCAAGTCTTTTGAATTGAACCATGCCCCTTGGTTGACCCGTGATATTCTTGAATATATGCGTCGCGGATGAAAGTCCAGCACCCTGGAATATAAAGTACCAAGGTCCAACGTCTTAACAAAACTCCATATCTGGCGGCAAGACTTTGAGTTATAGCAAACTAGCAAGAGGCTTACGAAAATCATGCACATCTTGATCTGTGAGACAAAATAATCTTTGCTGGGGAGCATTGGCTCCCTGCTAGAACATCTTTGCCTCCTTTTACGTGGATCTTCTGTGACCAAAGCAGTGTTATGTATGTCGTCCTTAAAGTTAGATGCACAAAAATATCAACAAAAAATCAAGGAAGCTAACTCCTACCCCCCCTTCTGGCTCCAGACTTTTGAATTTTTTTAGCATCCTCTCTTGTATTTGGTGATCACTTGACGAATCAAGGGAGAAGACACTCATAAATATACAAATTGAAGCAAGAAAGTCTGAGGGGTAGGGAGGAATACAATTCCTGGGTATATAGTTGTCCTAACAAAGTCCCTCTCAGAGACCGAGAGGGCACACACCGAGAGGGACTTTGTTAGGTTAGGGTACATAGATTTTTGGAGTTTTCTGAACATTTCAAAGAGCCACACAGAAAAATCTTTAGTCCAAGGAAGATTATGAGTATACATAATATGTAATTCACGAAAAGTATCTTCCCCTCTCAAGCCAAAGTATGTCATGTGCAATGTTCCTAAGTCCCTTACTGGTCCCAGATGTGGGAATTTTTCAACCTTAGAGCATTGACACCAACCCTAGGTAGACAAGCCTCGATTGGGAGGCTTTCCCAGCCTGTCGGTCACTAACGGTGGGAGAAAAAGCCTACGGCCGCCACCCATGATCTTGGATTCCTGCACGCCCAATTGGTTGATGCATATCTCCTCTACATGAATATCTTTTATGGACCTTTCATGGGGAATGTGATCGCGTTGCGAAAAATGTTCATAGAAGATTGCAATGAAATTTGTTGGTCCATAGCCGGGCGAACCGATTTGTGTCGGCGTTGATTGATGACTTCACAAGACCACTCTGATATATGAACCAACATTTTAAACTGATAACAAACAAATTTAATGCATGCACATTGTGATATTAATGCAAAGGTTTGGCTTGTATTTGAAAGAGTCAACTCTGTTGAGCTACAACACAACAAGCGAGAAATACACAATATATAAATATTCAAATAACATAACGCAGTACAAGATTTTGACCTGAATAAAATGCTTCTACCTATTGAAACGCGTTACAATCATGTGTCCAACACAGTTGATCTTCAATTCACAGAAGAGAAAAAGCAATGGTTCACAGAACTTGAAGGTGGCATTGCCATTTAACAGTCAATTTCTTTAACAATTTCCAGAGCCATTTTGAATTCCGGAAGAAGTGAATGATACATTCTCAGTAAAAATTTTCTTTCCATTATTACAGGTGACTCGGATATTCCCAGAATTTCCTTGACTGGCTTGATCAGGTTGAACTTGGACACAAAATACATCGATAAATAAATTTAGTCGCATTCTAAGATGGATTCCCATCGTCACAGGTAAACTGATAACTTACAAAAATTTGAACTTGATTGGCGCGTAGTAGTTGTCCAAGTTTTACCCTTATCAGTAGAGATTTCCAATGATTTCACGGGATTGTTTGCTCCGGCTACCTGCATCGAGAACCAATAAGCGGAAACTCCTACTTTATTGATGAGCTGGATAGGAGTTGAGAAGCCGCAAGAGACCACCTCCCTGAAATACAATTGATAAGTCTACCAAGCTTGGTCACAAACTATCCAAGAAGGAAAGACTGAGTTATTGCTTACCAAGTTATATCTTTGATCGACGGTGAAGCATTACCTGTCACTGCTGCCCACATGGTCGGATCCATATCAAGTCCATTGGTAGTACACTTGAAGTTGTTCGTCAGTGAACGATCTATCCATTCCAAGAATTTTTCAGAATACATACACTTGGGCACTGATCTCCTACAATTCCAACTTTGACATTTCCATCTGGTCCCGTTACTTCCAAACATGCGCCACAGTATGCGCCACTTTCCCATAAGTTTCCGGCGATGGCAATTTCAGGATAATTGCTTGGCTGTGGCCAAGTAGAGAAACCACAACTGAAAAAGACGATACTTCAGCTTGTGTGACAGAGAAGAATAGAAGCGAAAAATATATGTGGGAACCTTACTCACTTTCCACCGGCCCAATTTCCACCCTTACAAGTTTACAAGAGCAAATGATATGTCCCAAGATTGTGAGCCAAAATAGACTTTCGCTCGGACACGCTTTTCAGAGAAAGATGCAAATGTTTACCCAATAAGTTCCTTTAGAGGTGTAAGAGGTAGCCCTCGCTTGAAGAGAATTATTCGAAGTACTCTTATTGACCAGAGTGGAAAGTAACGTAAAAAAGTATACCAATAACAACATAATGTTACAAAATAGCTAGTTTGTTCCTGTGATCGGAGAGAGGTTATTATCAAGGCGGATTTATTGGATCTTTCAATTAGAGTATGGAAGTGAAATGGAAGGATGCCACCTGGATGACCTGGCTTGCCTGTGTGTTTATATATCAATGGACCACTCTTTTTTGCTTCAAACTATACCGAGGGAGAGAGATGTCTTAATGACCACCATGGTGATTTGAATGATCACGCAGCACACGGTCTTTGACATCACTGGATAAATATGTTGAACGTGACTTATGATCAACCAAGGGCCAAGAACGAAAAGATTGACTTCAGCTCAATTCAATTCGGGAAGTATGGTAAAATTTAGTTAATCTTTTCTTATCGCTTGAACAAACTTACACGCAGAACGGTGTGGCCGCAAAAGTCGAGATTCTGAATGAGCGAATCCTGGAGATATACCCACCAGATGTTACTTCAGCACAAAACAAGAGTTCATCGCTCCGAACGCCTTGGGAAGCGTGTCATTGAATTTTCCTTCTCGGAATCAAGAACCCGATGGTAACTTCTGAATCTCAGTATATCGAGGGCCATTGCCGTTCATGAAAAGCGAAGGTCTTGCGAAGTGTGAGATTGGATACATATTCAAAGTGGAACGAATGTGGTCAGATACGATGGACCTCCATAATCTAGTAGTCACCGCAGTCGTCGTGCAAGAAGCTCGTCAGATCACGAATTTTTTTCTCGGAATGCTAGCAAGTTTTTCACTCTTGCGGAGACGTGATCAGGGAGATTTCATTGTTTTGAATCGATGGTAAATCTTTCTAGATGCACAAATTTCTCTCATCCATATATGTACATAACTGTTCACAACATGTGCTCACTCGTTATAAGCATATCTTTCTACATCTTTACACAACTTCACATTCATGGGACTCTGCACCAAGCCATGCCTTGGTTGGTCCTCACACGGAAATCTCACTTGGATTCAAACTCAAGACATCACATCGGTATTGGAGAAGTGCATCTTAGTATTTTTCAGACTCTGCCATCGGGATTTGCGAAAAAAATGAAGTTCATAAACTAAAGAACACTAAATACAGATCAAGAGGGAACAGAGAATCTCGAAGTAAAGATCCTGCCGAAGGCAAGTGAACTTCAGTCTAGACATTTATGAATGTGAAATTCCAATTTCAAGTCAACACAGGACTGAGGACTGACGTCGACAGAAGAACAAATCGATTATGACTAACCTGCCCTGATTTACTGCGTACAAAGCTTATAAAGACCTTTAAGGCCGAGTAACTTCAACTGCGAAAGAGAGAGAGAAAGAAAGAATCACAGCAATGGGAATGAGATCATAGAAGAAGATTGGAATCAGCCAGATTGAAAATTGAGAGCTCCATAATTGATGAACGAACGTTGAGTAAGCTGGGTTCTTTCCCGCTGGGTCAGATTGCTGTTCGATGGTCATGAAGGAAACTTATCAAGATGACCTCAAATGCGGTTTTCAGGAAAGTCAAATCAGAGTGATGTTTGAATTCCTTGATTTCATTAATCGAAACGAACAAAATCTCATTCTCATTCAAAACATATCTTGAACTCATCATCGAAACCTGCTAAAAATGTCTAATTCAATCTATCCTGATCGTCATCAAGCATTAAGCCCCGACAGAAAATCATTCAAAAGATTGATTGTTTTAGCTGATGGTGAGAATCTCAATGATGCTAGTTATCTTTCATGATGCTTGATTTCCATCAATGAGATCACAAATTCATGATACACGATGATATTCAAATCTGTTCTAAATCATAAGGTACTTGGAACTCAGCTTATAAAAAGGGTGGAACCCATGAGTTGACAAATGTAGCAAGATTAGGTGAATAATGGTTGGAATTCAGTCGATGATCCCATTGCAAATGATTGATGATGTGTCTTCTCGATCTTAGCTCGATCGATCTCATCAGAGGATTCCTCAACCTCTCCTCACATCCCTCAAGTTATATTTTATCAAAATGGTTTAGGTCCGTTCTTTTATCTGCCCCCTTTTTCTATCGTGTATCGACATATTCATATCAATGAGTCTATATAAACTTACTCGATGGATGATTTTGTATTCTCGTTTTTCAAGGTACATCGGGTTACTTTGGTGTACGCCTGACAAATCATGAGATCTTCTGTCTTTCCGTGAATTTCAATGTTGAGACTTACCTACATTTCATTGTACATAGGCAGACTCCATATCGGCTTTAACGGGTCACGGAATGATTCATAAGATTCAAGAATTGTATGCTTCCATCGTTCATAATTGGTTACCGGGAGATCAAATCTTGTAAGTTTAATGTTTTGGATGTCATTTGGATAATTTCTAAACACTCTTTGTCCCATAGGCTTTTTGGATTTTCTCGTGGTGCATTTATTGCTAGGATGATAGGTGCTTTGATAGGTGATGTAGGGATCTTGCATCCAACTGAAATGGATGGTTTCTGTGATCTCTTCAAAGCTTATCAAGTGCTTGGGGTAAATGGTGCCGATGATGGAGCAAAGCAGCAAGCAAACAAAATTCTGTCTCTTTATAGGAAGGGTGGCTCAAAAGCCACTAGAGTCATCCCAGAAGGAACTCTCAAATGTATTGGTGTTTGGGATACAGTGTGTGCTCTTGGGATGCGTGAGCCTTTTCTATCTTGACTATAAGAAATTGACGACGTTTGTAAAGCTTTGAGTTTTTCGGGGGCAAGCTCGCTATGGAGAGGGCGACTCTCATCCTTCTTATTTAGGATTTTCGGATGACATGTTAGGGAACCATATTCAATTTTGCTTCCATGCACTTGGTAAGCTATCCTTGAATCCTCTGAAATTCACATGTCCTTTATCTGCATATTGATTTCTCATGTAAATCCCCTGAAGCGATTGATGAACATCGAGGGGACTTTCTTCCGACAAAGTGGGGACAGAATCCAGAACAACGTCGAGCTGGGCAAGTCTTGAAACAAGTTTGGTTCCCAGGATCCCACAGCGATGTTGGAGGTGGTTATGCTGAGCATGAGTTGTCTGACATAGCGTTAATGTGGATGGTCGTGAGTTCTAGTCATGACGGTTCTGGGCATCATCAAATTTACTGTCTTATCCACTCTTCATTTGACATCCAGGCAAATGTGATCGAAAACAAGTTGCTTGCTATTGATACTCAGTTTGTTCTCTCGATTCCTGCTCCATTATATGGTTGGGGGAAAATGGCATCACACAAGTGAGTCTAACTTTAATGTTGAAGGCTTTTCTGGATATATTTGACTAGTGATGGGACTAGTGATGGCGAAATGAAAGTCTTTGGTTCTGATCGGTGAACTTTTTTTTGCCAGATCCAGAGGTCCAAAACGAGTTATGTGTAGGTCAATAAACAGGGAACTTCCTGCACGTCGAGAGGAACTTAAACAAGAAAGCTTCCATTCTTCAATTCTCTCAGGGAGGGATTTGGATGAAAAGTTGAAAAAGCTCTTGGACCAATCACCTGATCTGATCGCTGATTTGCTACCATTAGAGATTGAGGTTAAGAGTCATTGGACCTGCCAACTTAGAGATGAAAGATTGCAATCCGATGAAGTCATAGAGGATGTAGATTTAAGCGACAATTCCGAGCCAATCATTCAACATGACGATGTTCCCTTCGCCGGGCGCCAGGAGGAGTACCCGAAGAATGGGCACTGGGTGCGAATAAAGTCATTTGTTTTTCGCAAAAAAATATCAGGTTCAAGTCATTGATGGATGAAAATGTAAAGGTTGGATTTCTCAGTGGGACCTTTTTTGTCTTACACGGCGGATAATTTTAGTTTTATCACATTTTTGGTAATTGACGTCTTAGGCTCTTTACCATTTTTTATTACACCCCTTCTTTATGCATGATTATCACCAAAATCCAGAAAATTCTGTAAGCAACTCAAAATCCTTTTATGGAAGTTCAAATCAGATCTTGCTCAGGAAACTTGTGAGAGGGTAAGACCAAAAACCATTCGAGCCTATTCCAAGAAGGTAGGAATATTATTGTGAGGAATAGTATCTTATGGATGAGATGAATAAAAAGTTCAGATTGATATATCTCCTAATGTACACCTTTTATGGAAGTTCAAATCAGAACCTGCTCAGGAAACTTGTGAGAGGGTAAGATCAGAAAACACTTGAACCTGAAGACAGCAATAAATAATAAAAGGTGAAAATAAAATAAGGAAATTTCTGATAGCTAACCTATTCCAAGCAGGTAGGAATATCATTGTGAGGAATAGTATTTTATGGATGAAATGAATAAATAGTTTAGATAGAGAAAAAGAGAGCAAATGTGAATGGGAAAATAGTACAAATAGGTGAAAAACTTCCTCCTCTCTCTTCCCAATCCGTCAACTCTCCATAACATCCATATTACATCTCCTCATAGCAAATTTATTTCAAATCTATTTCAAACCTCTTGGTGTGTGCACATTGATGTACTGCACCGAGACGGACACGGTGGATGGGTTGTGCAATTATTTAGTGAGATCAAGGGAGATAAGGAACTCATGAAGAATCTTGTTCCACTCCCATGGGCCACAGAGACTGTTTTAGACTGTACAAAGATCTGGGAATCTCACATACCCATTTAGGATGCTCAATATCTACAATCCCTTCCAGTTGTGCCATCTAGATTTGTTTGCTTAGATTGCTGTTAAGGAAAGCTGTTTTTATGTCTAGACTCCTTGCCTTCCGGCCTTTCTGTGCCATGATGCTGATGAAAATACAAATACGTTCCTGACAGCTGATAGGTGGGAAAAATTTGTGGGAATTAATTCCTTCATTTGCAAAAATCCTAAGGCAACAAGGCAAGCCTTGATTTTGTCAACGAATTTATCAATGTTGCGCTTGGTTTTGAACACCCATTTACATTGGATGATATGACACAGTGTGGGTTGTAGCACTAAAACCAAGGTTTCTTTTCTGAATAAAGGTTTGTATTCATCCACAGTAGCTTTCTCCCACTTGTATCAGTTCACAGATCTTGAAGCATGTTGGTAGGACTATGGCTCAGCCTTGGCTTTGATTGCTGCAACATTACCATATTCACCCTAGTGTTTGGGCAGGCAGCAAGTACAAGATGAGGGTGGAAGACAAACAGGAGCAGGGATCGAATTACACTGAGACTGAGTATTGAACATTCCAGCAGGTTCTGGTCAAGATGAGTTTAGATCAGGCCAGGGTAGCTGATTTTACTTACTGGTAGATTGATGGAAGGATGAAGGGGTGATACTGGGGAAATTAGGTTCAAAGAATATTGCTGATGTTGTTTTAACAAGACGTCTACTTTTTGAATCAAATACAAAGTATCCAATATTGTTTTTGAGATATGAGACAAAGACTCTGTGTCTTGCTTGGGATTCAAGTTTTGATGTGGTGTTGGGTACATGGTACCATGATTCAAATTCAAAAGAATGAGAATTGTATAGTTTTTGTTCAGGAATACTACTGAGGGATACAGGCAAAGTCAACTTTCAGTTGGTTCAAGTTGGGAAATGATTGTATGACTCAGTCCAGTACAGAAAAGCATAGGGCCAGAGTGTGGCAGGTGGGTTGGACTCAATGAGTGAACATCTGATTTTATCCTTGATTGTACAGTTCCCTTGTTTAGAGACACTTTTCAGTTCAGCAAAATGAGAGGGACCCAATGTCTGTAGGAGTCCATGTTCACAGCAAAAAAACTCAAATTCATTTGAGATATAATCTCCACTGTTGTCTGACCAAAGCTCAGCAACTCTAAAACCTAAGATGGCATCCACCTCAGTAACAAATTTCTTAAAGCAGCTCAAAATTTCTGAGTCATGTGGAATAGGGTAACTTCTAGGTATATTGAGTGATAATCAAGAAAAAAAGAAGTTTGCATCCATCTCTTCCTATAGTGAAGTATTCAGAGATGCAAATGTGAGTGAATGGCAGAGAAAGTCTTGTTGGATTTGCACAACAATTGTGAATAAAAATTTCTCCTCCTAAATCTTCCTTGAATAGATAGCAATAATCCTTACATTATTGAATTGATGTGTTTGGAAAAGGGACACTCGTCAGTTTCAGGTTTTGCTTAATATTCTGAATTTTTGGAGGATTAAATCTCTTGTGCCAATAAATCAGATCAGATCTAACAACTTGAGAGTTTTGCAATGATGGAGAGGCTGCACACACATATGATTTGTAGTACAGCCCGCCACATTGAGGAGCATGACCAATGAGGAAGGTAGGAGTGTGATAAAATGAATGTTCTTTTTTGTTCAAGACAGATACAATGCCCGTATCAGAGAGCTTCAACACAGATATAATACACCCTTTGAGTTTTGGAATGACAAGATATTGATGCAAGCTTTCATCCATAAATACAGGAATGAAGCCTGCTTGAGTATGTTGAGATGATTGGGGGATCCATAAGAAAGTTTGACAGTTGCATTGTCAGAGACCGGTTTGAAGATCATCATGGAGGATGGTAGCATGTCACATGATGCACCCAAGTTGATAGTGAAGGACCCATATAAGAATAGTGGGTCAGCTCATGAGCTATGAACTGCACAGGAGAAATCAGATTGTCCTTGTTTGCAGAGGGAATATCACCAGTGGGAGGAAGAGAGTTCTTTGCTACAGAGGATATTTCAGTCTTCTTAATTTTCTTCAGTTGAGTTTTCAATTTTATGATTTCCTCTTTCATCTCATCAAGTGTCAAGTTGTGATTACCTATGGATTTCTGGGTACAAGTAGCAATGAGATGACCTGCTTTGCCGCAATACTTACAGTGTTTGATATTGATATTGGGTTTTTACTCATAAACCTTGTTCACTTATTCAGGTGCAATTGACAGGGCCACATTCGAGTACAAGATAGAGGACTGTGTGATTCCTTCACAAACGGCAGTGACAATCTGAGCGGATGTGATTGTTTCACATTGAGAAAGTGGGGTGATTGTGGGTTTGAAAGACAACAGAAGCATATGGCATACTCTTATTGATAAGAATGAATGACTGATGGAGGACAAGCAGTGGAATCAATAGTGTTTAATCACTTAGCAATAGTAACAATTTTATCTAGTTTGGCTGAGACATATGAGATTTCCATTACAAAAGTTACCACCTTTTCTTACCAGTATATGCATGAACCAGCAGTGTTCCCTTCATGTGCCTCCTTCAAGGCTATGCACATTGCTGAGGATTAGATCTTTGATTTTTTTCTTGTAATTTAATGGACGTGGGCTAGGGACAACATCATTCATTGGGCAGTGAAAGCTCATTGGCCAACTCATCCAATTCCTGGTGCCTTTTGAGTCTCCTACAAATGCTCTGTCAGCCAGCAAATACCAAAGCCTTGGAGATGCAAATCCAGTATATGAATGAATTATACAGAAATTAAACTTGATATGCGGGTTTTGATCAAATTCTCTTTCTGCCTCACTATGTTCAATACATACCACAAAACGACCCTCACAAACCCTGCTGATATCTGTGCTTTGATTCTTGAACCACACAACAAATACCAAGAGTTGGTGATACAACTCTAGAGTGCTTGCTGGCCTCAATTGTTGAGATGATTGGAACACACTCCTTGAATCAGTGCAAAAACATCCATAATGATGTGCCTGTAGTCAACAACAGAAAACCTGGACGGCCACCCAAAGATTGCCCTTGATCTGTTGTCACCAAAAAGAAAGCTTTTCAAGCTTATCTCTTGACCAAGAAAGAGGACAAAACTTAAAGCATTAGCAGTGGAGCCCTTATTTTGCAGGCTCTTGCACATTTTGGAGGGCAAAACACTAAAAGACCCTACAGCAGTCCTTGCACAATCCAAGGTGGGCCATTGTCAGTCTCCACATTTGGGGATTGTGTGGGAGTCTCAATATCCCATATACACCCAATTACACATCACATCACAGCTAATTATGAAAAGAATTTGTCTAGAATACAAGCACATAAAAACACTTAAATTGAGGTTTTCTTGCAAATTTGTGTGCTCCGCTGTGCACACACACTTTTTTTGACCCCCTACATTTCAGGATGGCTTTCCAGGGTCTGACTGGGAGCCCACAAAATACAAGCACCACTGCTAATGATCTAATACCCCACTTATGTATTGGCAAAAGGATGGTCTTGACTTCCCAATCGGTTTCCAGATGGCATGCATCTTCCTTGCTATTCCAGCCATCTAGTATTCCTACCAATCACTCATTCTCCGCTACGGATAGGACAAATCACCAAGCTTTGTAGTTCCATGAAAACTCCAACCTTTGAAGCAGTGGTATGCCTCAAGAGCTTCAATCAATTCATGTAATCAGTATATTGTATCTACACATACAGTAGTTGTACCAATACAAACATCCCCACTCAATCTACCTGACTTGTTCCTCCCTTGAACAAGTCATTTACTAACTTTGCTGAGCCCCTCAGCTTGCTTTTTATTGCTCGCAAATCGCTGGCACCTGCCTGGCGGCCCTCTTGGCGGCCCACGAGCACACTACTCCTGGTCTCCACAGCATTTTGAGAGGGCCCTTGGCCCGGTGCCTAGTGGGCCCAATACCGGGACCATGCCTTACACAGGAAACAAGAGACAATTTTCCCGCGGGAAGACCGATTACACATAATGTAGTTTCTGAGCCATAATGTACAAATAACACAGATATAACACCAAAATAATACATTTTGGCTCGTTAACTGAGTCAGATACAATTGGTTTTCCCACGGGAAAATTGTCTTTTGTTTCCTGTGTTAGCTATGAGCTTGATGACATAGTTCTTTTTTCATCCTCATCTCCAACGATTTCATTATCCAACAGCACTTTGCCGACCACTGGTACTCGTCAAAGTACTCATACATGAGCTAATCATTTCGCCAAAAATGGTCTCACATGGTAAAAAGCCCTTCAGAATTTTGCTGAATATTTGCCACATGATGATGACAATTAGATTACAACAATAAAATGAGATGAGAGAATGACTCCAAAAAACAAGTCGAAAAGATATTTTTTCTTACGGAATCGAAAAGATAAGTCCAGATAGAAAATTGACATATATGATCATAGATGATTGATTGATGAGTTGTTTTATCTGCACATGATTTGTTTCCATGATGTAGACAGTATATGAAGAAAAAAAGGTATGTTATGAGTGTAATCTAGAGGTGGTATCACAAGTAAATCTATATATTGTGGTATTGAAATCTCAGCTCCTCTGAAATATAAATAGCTGTGTTGGTCACCATGACTCTTGTATGAATAGAAGCCTTCATGCTTGAGAGTGATTGAGAAATCTTGCGATGCTGGGTTGAAAAATGTCTGTTGACGTCGTCGAACGTAGATGAAAGTGTGTTAGTGGGAAAACTTTGTTCTGCTCCAAAAGTTTCCAAAGCACGATAAGATGTTCGTAACTGCGGGAGACTTTAGTGCATCGATCAAACTCACCATTTGGGGTTAAAATTCATCACCGGGTGTACCGAGCGGTAGGGTGCCATCGAACATCAAGTGATCTCATAGTTCTTTCCATCAATCTCTTTTCGTTTCCAAGCAATCCAAATAGTTTGCTAACATTTGAACTACCAGTAAAGATAATACCATCCGATAAACGACCAAGCAAAGTTAATTCAATGATAAACTTTCGAGTTTGAGTAATCCGTTTAGATAATGGTAATTGATTAAAAACAGATTCATGAAATCCAACTCTATGAAACGATTTTGATGAATGTCTTTTAAGTTTTGTAGAAAAACTTGATTGATGTAAGTCTTGAAATTTGGATAAATCTGATGATTTATCTAAAAGTGATGACACTGTCATTATTTTCCATTGTTTTGAACGTTCGACTGATTGAATTAATTCAATTCCATCAGGATCATCACTCATTACTATGAGAATCGGAAGTGATTGTAGAGTAGAATTGCTTGTTTGTCGAATTTGGGATAAAAGAGATTCAGCTGCATCAAAACATGCATCTGCTAGTTTGTTTGTTGAAGGTGGCTCATTATCTCTTGATCGAAGTTGTCCTTGATCAGCTTTCAGTTCGATAGTCATCCCAACTTTATAATTTGATAACTCGTGAACTTTATCTCCTAACCTGTTCAGATCAGGCCATCTCATTAGTAACAAAGCAAGACAATCGACGCGAAAAGATTGAAATGGACCTAAGATGTAGCCCAATGATGACTGTAGATTGATTGACTCGAAGTTCTTCTAAAGCTTCTTCACCTTCCTTTATCTCTTGAGCCAATTCATTACGAGGAATCCAAATCCGATTCATCACTTCAACTTGAGCAAGAAAAGCCTGTTCAAAGGTAGTCGGAAGGGTTCCATAAGCACTCAAAAGTTCATTCCTCTTCGAATTCTTTCTTTCCTCTTGATGCATTTCTGATAATTGACTCTGATCAACAAATAAAGCAAGAAAAAGTTGATCAATATAATCAATTTCACGTGGTAAATAAACATGTTTGTTATTAATCCAACTAGCTGGCCATATAGATTTTTCTAGTTCAGGATTGATTTGAAAATTATCTGATTCCTTAAAACATGAATTCGAATAATTTAATGTCGCAGTAGTCTTATTAAAATAATCTTCAAGTCGACCATAATTCCAATCTGAATCTTCTACAATCAAAGTATAATTTAACTTGAATGCAATTGCAGCGATTCTAAGATATAAAGAGAATTCAGAACCAAATCCATGTTTTTTACCCATTCTATAAGATAAAGTTTTAGGACAATTAGATTCTTGAATGAATTTTGATATTGTTATTGATGATACTGATTTATTACTATCGAATGACCATTTTTGTTGAAGACGCCATTGGGTACATAAGATGACTAAGCCACCAAACAAAACGATTGTGAAGATTATGAATCTAGAAGAAATTCGATTCTTCTTCAAACTAACTTTCTTATCGTGTATCATCTTGATTTCGAAAGAGATGTGATATTCAGGATCGTAAAAAGCGAGAGTGAGAGTTGATTCGATGAAAGGAAACTCATGAAAGTGATGTTGTAAAAACCCCAGAAGATGTTTAATTGATCAAGAGTATATCAACAAGTTTGAGCTTTGGTGAATTTTGATATGTCTGATCGGATGGGTTAACTTCTCCTCTTTTCGACTTGAAAAGGCAATTTAAAGATTTTCACCGAGGTGATAAGAGGAGAAATTCATGTGATGTATTTCCATACCTCTTTCAGCTTATAACCAATGGACTTGATCAATCACATGGGATCTCATGGGATGAATATATCTATTTTAAAAGCATTCTCTCAAAATCAGTCTTCCCCTTGTGTGCTCTTCAGATTCTGAGTCATGATTCAGACAAGCAGCCTCTGGTATATAACATAATCCGCTCGACTGTAAAATGCTATATGTATAGTCTGATGAAAAGAGGTAGACTCTGAGACCACAACCTTTGGTTGTATCTTTGAGGTCACTTTCCACTCAAGTTAGATGCGATTGAAGTTGAATGATTTGATAACGATGATGAGCACTTTTTTAGCAGCTCAATGTTGTGACTGTTACGATGTGAAACAACTCGTGGTGATGTCCGGCGGTACCAAGGTCGGATGAGAATTGATCGAGTATGTACAAAATTGTAAAAATTGACCAAATCACCCAAAACCGTCCCCATTGTGGTCCATTCAGCACCATAACAAACCGAACAACCACCATTTACTATCTCAATCAACCCAAATCAAGAAATAGCGGTTCACCATTCACACATTTGGTCAACAAATCAGTATCATCTTCAAGCGAATCAATCAAAATCAGGTTTCCAATAAACCTTCGAGAAGTTCACCGTCAAGATGGCTTCAACTAATCCAGAACCAGCTCCAGAATGGATGTTACCTGAATTCGATCCATCTCTCGTTAAAGTCTCTGAATTGAGATCGATCTTACTACAAAATGATATTCCTCATTCTTACACTAAAAAATCAGATCTCATTCAGTGCGTTTTCCTTTCTTTTCATCCATCATTAAGACCCTTTGTGACCTAATCAATTCCATTGTCTCCGTTGTTTTGCATTCTGAACATCAGGTTATTTGAACGGGAGGTCAGACCCTTGACACCTGTAAGCTCGATCAACATAACCTCAGTTCTTTGTTAAGTCTCAGTTCGTCTCTAACTCATTTCCCCCTTGTGATCTTCCCTTTTTCTTGGTCAATACAGAAACTACTTCGTGATCATCGGAACGTTCGTCCATCTTCTCGTGGAGTCATTGATATGCGCTCTACTCAAGTACAGGAATATCAAGACTCTCAACCTAAAAAAACTCCACGAAAAAAAGCATCCTCAATCAATCTAACAGATCAAGAATCAGTTACTTCTACTCGAACTCAACCTAAACAATCCAAAAAATCACTCCTGAGACCAACTGAGTCAGAAGACTTGGGTACTGACGCTGACGCTGAAACCACTCCAAATTCTCGAGCTTCAACCCGAACAGTTGAGTCCAAAAAGGCCTCAAAAAACCGTTCAACAATCCCCACTCCATCTTCCTCAAAACGTTCTACTAAAAGAAAAATCGATATCGCTGAAGAGGAAGAAGAAATTGATCAACTAGCACGAGACGAAATCGTATATCTAGATCCCCCATACAAGATGAACACCGAACAGACCATTGAATTCGCACGTCAATCTGATTCTTCAAGGAACCAAACTAGTTTGCCTGTCCCTGTTAAACGTCGTAAATCCGATTTTCCAATTCAAGCTTCTACAATCCAAACCCCACCAGAGGAAGTTAGTGTAAAAAAGAAGACGACAAAACCTAAGAACAGACGGACCACTTTACATGAGGTCATTGAAGCTGGCGAGGGCAACTATTCTGACTATAATCCGTTTCAAAGCGGTGCTGATGAAGCCCCCGGTAGTAGTGGTAAGAAGCCCAAGTCTTCGAAATCCAAGGTATCTTAATTTCTCTTACATTGTCAAGGAGCTCCATGGCTCATCAAACGTTGCTTTTTGATTGGTTTTCAGGCATCTGTACCTGCACCTCTCAATGTTGCGCCGCACCCATCCAGGTCTAGTACCACCTCAAACATCCCTAGATTAGCTTCTCCTGGCAAGCAAGAACGAATTAACACCCGAGTCTCCATGCATCATCTGCCTCAGGGACCTCCTGATCTCTCGACTGGACACCCAATCCAGCAGCAACCATCCTTTTTACCCAAGTCAGCCACTACCTCCAACCTTCGGGCTAGCTATACACCTCAACAAGGTCATGGACGCAAGAGTGTTCCAATATCATCGATGGCCCGGCCAACTGAAAGGTTCTATGAGCCATCACCGAATGTCGATACACCAGAGCAAATTGTACGACAACTCGTCCCAGGTCGTAAATCTCAGCGATTTGAACCACGCCTTCCATCAGCTTCCCGTCCTGAGTTCGATCAAAAGGTTGAAGATGATTATGGAAATGGTTCAGATGATCGACACACACATTTTGAGGATCAAGCTTATCGAATTAAGACGAACTCACGTCGACAATCTCAATTACCTCCTCGAAGCCCATACCCCATCAAACCTAGCCTACCCGGCAATACTTCTACCACCACACCTGCGCGTCAACAATTCCCTCGGATCCGACTTGATGAACTGGTTCATACCCCAAGTGAAAAGAAATTGAAGATCAATCGACAAGCGCGTCAGAAGCCAAGCACAGGTTTACTCTTCAATCCTGGTCAAGGTTTGAGCTTCTTACTCAAGTTGAGCTGTGTAGCTGGTATCCTAGCTATTTTGAATTGGTACCGTACTCAAACGCTTAGTTTAGGATATTGTGATACGGGATCAAATAGTAATGCGCGGACACGAGATCAACAGATTGAAAGGTTCTTAGAAGCTGATGACATAGGTAGTAGTAGTGGCGAGAGTATGAAAGAAAGATTTGGTCAAGTGATGGAAGCGATAAATATGATTGGACTCTTACCGGATTGTATGAGTTGTCCGGTACATGGGATATGTGAGAAAGGCAAGATTAAAGGATGCGAGATGGATTATGTGTTGAAGAGATCTAGGATAGGAGAAAGATTTGAAGGATGGTTACCAATGTTAATGCCACCTAGTTGTTTACCTGATACGGATAAATTGATCAAGATTGCAGAAAGTGCGAATGCGATCAATCAAGTCCTTAGAACCAGAAGAGGGGAAGTAGTTTGTGGGATGGGTATGGGAGGAGTTGATATTGCAACAGAAGAGAAAACCAAGGAAATCAAACGGTTTGGAATCACTGAAAATGAATTAAAACAAAAGGTAATGAACGAGAGAGGAGTAGAAGAAGAAATCTTTAAATTAGCTTTGAAAGATTTAATTAAATTTGATGAAGTGATCAGTTTAGATGGATGGTTAGCTAGTAAGAATTTTAAATCAATGGAAATGGGATTGAAATGTAGAATGAAATTAGGAATGTATAAACTTATCAAAAGATTTAAATTGATTCTTTTAAGTTTGATTTCGATGGCTATTGGTTGGGTTTATTTGAAAGTGAAATTAGTTAGAATTAGTGAAGAGAAGGAAAAAGTGAAAGAATTGGTAGAAATTACATTGAGTAAATTGAGAGAAGAGGTAAGTTTTGTTTCATAATTAGAATCTGATGAGCATTACCATTTACCGAAAACTGATACTTTTCTTCTTCTTCTTTATAGTCATGGGTGCATCATACAAACCCAAGTTTAAAACCTAATGCATTTATTGCTTCTGCTCATTTAAGAGATTCAATTCTATCTTATGAACATTCACCTATTCAAAGACAAAAACTCTGGATTAAAGTTGAAAAGATTATTGAAGGTAATTCGAATGTAAGAACCAAAGTTACGGAATCACGTGGTGAAAGTTTCAAAGTTTGGGAATGGATCGGTTTGTTAATTTCTTTTAATCTCTCTTTCTGTCTGTTTGTGATTTAACTTTTGGTGCGTTGTGGTTTTCTTTAGGGAGTTATACTGGCGATTTGAATTTATCACCTATTGGAAAATATGCTTATCAAACTCCTAGTAGGAATGAAGGACCAATTCATCATCGATTATCAACAGCTAATATTGGAGAAGAAAATGAAATGATGAATACTTGAGGAGATAGTTTAACTTTTAGATTTTTCTTAACTTGAGTGTTTCTCATGCATCTTTCCTGTTGGTTTTTCTTTTCTGTTTGGATTTGTTTTTTAGTTTCTGTTTTTACGAGTGTGTTCTTTTTTGATTAATTTATACAAGTATACGTTTTTTGGCCTATTTTGTTGTTTATATTTGAATGAGAATCGGTTTGGATTGGTCATTGTTTTTTTCTGAAAGTTTATCATCTTTATCTTTAAGTAATTTTAATATCTTTGTATGATTTAGAGATATTAGGGGGGGCTCAAGTCAAAAAATTTTACTACTTTTATCATAAAAAACTTTTCCCAATTTCATAAAATTTACACAAAATTTTATGAATTTGGGAATTGTTATACGACATCCCAAATTTTTTTAAGCGGCAAATTTGCGTAAATTTACTGCTCAGAAGCAGATCCAAAAGAAATTTTTTGGTCCTTTTTTATGAATTGGGAAAAGTTTTTACAGCACGGCACCGTAAAAAACTTTCCCCAATTTTTTAAGAAAAGGGCGCAAATATTTTGACTTGAGCCCCCTTATTTGAGTTAAGAACAATGGTTCTCAGGGTCCCGCGGTCCGGTTGGACTTGTGTGTTAAGCTAGTTTAAACACTTGTTCTTGATGTCACCTCATGAGGACATGAAGCCTGCAGGATTTCCCAACACCTGCATAGAACACACAGGGAAACATAGCTTGTTGTTTTGGCTCTTCGTGAGGTAAAGTTCATGTTCAGAAAGCAGCTCGTTGCACCAGTGGAAAGACAGCCTTCCTTTCAGAACTTCCGTCGAATCAAAATAATCACGACGTAGGATATGATAATGCAAACTACCGTTGAAGAACGCAACCAACCCTCTGCTACAAACCAATAAGTTGATGATAGTCAACTAGAAAGGCCGAATAAATAATATGGTAAGTTGAGCCATGCTCCCAGTCCCACCAATCAAATGAATCCAAACACTCAAAATCATATCTCATGACAGTCATATATTGATGATGCGCTTTGATTTTGATTTCAATTTTAACTATTGATATTTCTCTGCCAATTTATCTTCTTGAGCTCATGTCTCAAACTCAGAAGGTTTACTTTGAGGTTGTTGATAACTTTTATGAATGTCTCTGAGATTTTTTAAATCAAGTGGCTCTCAAAGTTCCCATGAATATATAGGATTTTTGTTATATCATAGCTGTTTCATTTCCTTGATTGTTTTCATTCTTCATCAACTCATTTTTGACTTTTAACATCTTTTTTTCTTAGTATTTTCTCTTTGTCTGTGTAGATTGTGGGCTGTTGGGAAATGTAATCAAAATGTATCAGTACTATAGTGAGCTATATCAAGTGAGTACAATCAAAAATTTGACCCTAATCCAAGTGGTCTGTGTTGCAAGGTGTTAAAAGCAATGGGATGAGCCAAAGCTCAATTGGCCATGTGATCCTCACTTCAAGCCAAGGTAAGCTCATTTGCATTGGCTTTGGGTGAGCAGGTTTACATTATTGGGATCAGAGTGAGGGTTGTCTCAAGTGAGCTAGCTCATGTAGGTTGCTCAATGAAAAGGTGAGCAATACATGTTGCTCACATTATGGGATCCACATTGATCCCATGCATGGTTGTTCTGACGGAGCTGTCACCCTTTTTTATGATTGGGCTGGTATGTATCCCTTGCATCAGACTTGCCCAGTGGTGTAACCAACATCCATTTTGCTCACATCAAGGAGATGTCTCTATCTCATGATTGGTCAGTCTGTGCTTGTCTTGTGTTGTGAAACAAGATATTGAATGTCTCAAGATATGACCCTTACTTTTTGCCATATAGCACACTAGACCCTGTGAAGCCAGCCGCCTTGTGACCTTACCCCTACTTACTCTGAACTAGACTTGGAGGTGAAAGCTTCAAGGTGTCTTGGTGGTGATGAGCAAAGTCAGATGCAACCACTAATTACTGCATCAGGTGTTCACCACTACACCCTGCCATGGGACCATGTGGAACCTTGCAAGTCATGAGGAAACTTGTACCTTTTGGTGGGTCCCACATTGTAGTCATTGCACAAAGTGTTGAATCTTGCAATCACTTTACCTCATGGGATACAATCACATCAGTGAATGCAGCTTGCTTGACCAATGCTGTGTTGATCACATCACAGCCTGCAACAATTGCGCAACCCGGCTGTGATTGCCGGATTCAGCGGAGACCACAGAATAATGGAAGTTACTGTAGGTCTTACTCATTTGGACTATTTAGCATGTGTCCCAATGTGAACCTTTACCGCATTGGGTTGTGTCAAGGAACAGGTCCCTGTGGCACTTTTTTTCCAAATGTTGCTTTTTGGATTATTATCTGCCATTCTCCTCTGGAAGTGTTTTCATTCCTTAATACAAGCTTCAAAAGATGGTCTCATCTTGCTTTGATCTTCAAAACCCTTCATAGAATGTGTAGGCCATGAGATCCTGACTCATTGGAATTGAGTTGGATGAGTGATGTATGCACAGTGATTGAGATATGTAGATTGAAGTCTTTGGAATCATTATCAAGACTATGTTTATCAGTCAAGAATTCTATGTCTACTCAATTTTCTAAACTCCACGGTAAATTTGCAATTTCGCGCAGTGTCTTTTGATGCTGATGTTTGAAAAACATGATGGTTTGAAATCTTTTTGGCTTTTCTTTGGATTGCTTTGGTTTCACATCATTTTCCTACATATGTCATATCATATTATTGAGATAATATGAGTTGAGAAATTTAGTTTTGAAAACCAATTTTTGAGACATTTATGTGTTCAACACAGACACATATTGGCCAAGATCTTACATTATTTGTAAGTTAATACTTGAGGTGAATCCTGAGGACAAGCCTGTAGAAGTCCTCAAAAGATGAATGTAGTGGGCCAATGGACAGAGGAGGTTGCTGTTGGAATTAGCAACAAGTAGGAAGAATAAAATTTTTGAATACTGCAGTAAGAGCACACAATTGAGGGCAGAAGACAATCTCTGGAATCTCAATGTTCCAGACCAATTGACTGGTCATGGTCAGCTAAATCAGGGGTAAACAGCATGGTAGGCGTAGGAGGAGCCGTTCTCATTGCTCCTCTATCATTTGGATGCAAAATGCTCTGTAGCACCTTCCAGGCTTTCACCTGTTCTTGACATTTAGACCAGTGAAAGCAAAGACATTCCTTAATTCTACATCCCTTTTTAACATTTCTTTTCCTGCCATATGCTATATTCTTGCTGTTTGTTTCTGTTTGTTTGTTGCTATGATTGGTAAGACATGAGCCTTAAAATCCCTGTTGGAGCAGTAAGACAAATCCCCCTAATCTCTTGTACGACAAGATGATGAGCTGTAATCTCAACAAAGTCCCACACTGTGGCTTTCAACCCGAGCCCCAACAAAGGACTTAGACCAAACTTGAATGCAGACAAAGGTCAGGAAAATAAGTTTGACTGGGTTTATCTTCACAAGCATTCTGTACATTTTGTTTACCAAGGAATACTTCCAGAACCATAATGAACATTGTGTGTGTTGTTCTTGCACATAATGTAAACCAGTTTTTCCTACAGGAAGTTGATACCTTCTTGCAAAAAAGTCAAGATTGGCTTCAACTACTCATCTTGGGGTTGAGAGAAAAGTCACATGTGCTATCTGCTGTTGAGAGACAACCTTTGGGAATATTTCCAGGCAAGAAGGATGCAGCTTGCTTGGGAAACAAATTGTGTACATTGTGTGCAAGATCACTGCACACAATGCTTATTATTGGTCTGGCAGGATTCCATGATGAATGAAAGGTACAGAAGGCTTGTGAGGATGCACCCAGCCGAACTCTTGTTCCTGACCAGAGTCTTTGGCCTGTGGTGGTCTTGTTGGAGGCATTGTTGGTAATTGTGATAAAACAAGTTGATAGTCTTCTTACACTGTGAAAATAATGTATTTTTCCAAGGTGAAAAATGATTGACATTAATGCACAAAATGATTAATAATGCAGAATTAATGCAGAAAAATGCAGAATTAATGCAGAATTAATGCATTTTTAATCATTTTGTGAAATAAATGTAATCATTTTTCACCTTGGAAAAATACATTATATTCGCAGTGTTAGAAGCTAGAGGTGTTGCCTATAAAATTTGGGCCTGGGGTAATCAGGTAACAGTGAGTAAGGCAACACACCACACAAGCTTTGAGAAGCTAATCAGAGATGTAGACAAACCTGTGCTCAAGCAACAGGATGTATGAATAAGGTCAATTGAGGATTTGAAATAATAAAAGTCAAAATGAGATTCTTTTTGATCATTAGAACAAAGCATACCTGGGGTAATCAGGTAACAGTGAGTAAGGCAACACACCACACAAGCTTTGAGAAGCTAATCAGAGATGTAGACAAACCTAACACAACACAAAGGTTAGTGAGAAAAAAGAGTAAGAAAGATACAAAAAGTAAAGAAGAATAGACAAACCTGTGCTCAAGCAACAGGATGTACAAATAAGGTCAATTGAGGATTTAAAATAATAAAAGTGGAAATGCTGAGATTAGAAACAAAAAGAAAAATAATTAGACTTTGAAATAAAAGAGATATATTGTAAGGAGATCACTTACAGATTCTTTTTGATGAAGAAAAGAATCTGAGTGAGCACAAAGGATAGCTCTTTATACTAAACAATCAACGGAAAAGCGGACAAAAGAAAAACTCAAGTCACATTTGACTTATTCCCAAAACAGACTACAATTAACCCCCAATAGAACACTTCCTAAACTCTCATCACTACTTTCAACTCTTGATTTGTAAACATCTTCTCTCATTTGAATATTTTATTCTTGAGTCATTTGATTTTGACGCATTAGTTAGATTAATTTGTAATTCTACACACTCTTCTACACCAGAAGTCCTTGACCACGTTAGGACAAAAAGAGAGACATTAAGATATCACAACATTAATGATACAATAAAGGCGGTCAGAAATATGGAAGCAATCCAGAATGTTCTTGAGAAGGGAAGCTAGGTTGGAACCAGTGTGGGGTCCATTGATAGGATTCAAAGCCAGAGTGATACCATGGAGAATGAAGTTGTTGGTGATCCAGTGAGGGGTGAAACGCAGCATCGGGAAATTGGTGGGTGAGGTCCATGTGATGGAGATATGGGAGACAGAGGAAAGGGTATTGATGACTTTTCTTTAGTCAATTAAAAGGTATATAAGTTTCCATTGGTAATGGCAGTTCATTTGGATAAGAGGGTGAAAGCTGTGGGATTGATTATGCTTATGATATCTCAAAACTCCCTTGCATCACCAAATGACATTGGGACCTCTTGGTTGAAAACCATACTCATTATCACATCCTTGAGGTTGCCTCTGTTGAGTGGTTTGACCTAAAGAGAAGAAGAAATGATGAAAATAGAAAAAATGATAAAATAAGTGAAAGATAGCTTAAAGAATAGATGATCGAATTGAACAAAATGAAATGCAATATATAATTGAAATAAAAAAAGAGAATAGATGATGTTGTTAAGAACGTGAAATGAAATAGATAATTGTATAAAAGTCAGTTACTTTCACAGGCTGTCCATCAATATAGAAGGCTGCCATGGTGGGTTGGTCATTTTGAACAGGTGACACAATGTGATGGTGGTGGTCAAGATATTGAAGCATCAACTTTGTACTGGCACGCTTTTCAATGGCCCGAGGTTGTTGAAGATCCTAGGGATCTCAGCATCATCTTCAATGAGATTAATCACATCAGAAAATCTCAGTTGGGCTTGGCACATGTCCTTCATCAACCTGTCAACTTCCTCAGTGACAAAGTAAGTCCACACCCAGGATAAGTGTATTGTTGTGGTGGTTTTGGAAGTAACCTTGGAAATGGGTTTCAACAGAGCAGGGGATGATGAAGATCACAGCATTTTACGTAAATGGGTGATTGGGTGACAGGTGTAGACAGAGAGGGCATGGTTGAGGAACTCTGGGATGTAGTACAGAGATATCCAAACTCTGATAATTGTGAGAGTTCAGGAGCCGAAAAAGGGTCAGCACCCTGGTTGGACTGGGTCCCCCAGGAGCCCACAAGCATATCTTCAAGCTCATCATGTTAGGTCTTGCTTCCCCAGGGGGTTTACTGTCAGCTTTGATAATATGGTGTGGGCAGAGTTGGCTGAAGAGGGTCAGGTCTGGGATGCAGCCCTCAATTGTGGTGTCTGATTCAGCCACTTTTCTCAATTGCCAATCTTGTTCACAACCTGTTCACATCAGGTTTACATGTTTCCCTTGATACACCCTGCCAATTGGTTTAGTTGTTGTGTATATTCAGTACAACATAAGAAAGTCTCTTTCATATCATCAGCTGTCTTGTGTCTTGCTTGTGATTATGTTTCTGTTCTCTTATTACACATTTATTCCAAGACTTCCAAAATGTGCCAAGAAGCATATTCCCATCACCATCAAATATTCTGGTCACCAACAACCTCAGATATTGATGATTGTTTGTGACAAATTTTCAGAAATACACCACAAACCCAGCAAAACGGTTCCTGAACCAGGGCTGACCCCTGGTCAAGAACCGGTTTTGGCTGCTTGGGCCAAAACAAGTGTAGAACACGCTCTGCCAAACCTGGGGGGAATGGGTTCTATAAATCCAGTTCTGAACTGGTTTCAGAATGGTGGAACCTCAGGGGCTGTGAGAATTTCCTGTCCAGCTCGCAGGCCACAGGTTTCATTTGGTTCTTTGCCCGCCAGGTCACAGTATACTGAATAGTAGTGTGTTCCATTCACAACAAAACAAGACCATAACCAAAAGGATTTACAAAAGAAAAAGAAGGGACACAGAATGAGAAAAGGGGAAATGTTACATGAGAGAAAAGAAAACAAGAGAAATACAGAAGAGCAAAACAATGAGACAAAAGGAAAATAAAAATGTTACATGAGAGAAGACAAGAGAAATGAAAAACAATTGCAATGTAACACAAAATCCTTCTTTATACAAACTGCTACTTCAAGGATTTCATGCTATAACTCGGGCTCTTGATGAGAGGCTTCCTTTTCTCCTATTACTGCTCCATGGGTCTGATCTAAGTGTTTGATTTGTGCCTGAACCTCTTCCTCACTCGGCAACTCAAAGTTGGTGGTCTTCTTGATTTCAGTAAAGGTTCTATTCCCATCCAATTGGTCAAAGTCAAAGTGTAAAACCTCAAGAAAGTAGCTGTTTTTTGAATGAATATGTTTAATCTTAATGTAATTTGAAATGATCATTAACAACAAAACAAGGAGAAACTCACGCATAACAATAACGGACAGACTTAGTGTGGAATTCTTCCAACTTGTCGTCTACAACTGACCAGAACAAATGGTTGTTGTAATGTCCCAAATTGTAGCCCCAATGAATCAATTGCATTCTTGGTTAGAAACTGTAATGTAAAATCAGCCTTGGTTATGTTGGAATTCAGACAATCTGTATGCAACTTACAAGCCACTTGTAACAAGCTCTTTGAAGATGATCAACTTCTGACAGAATATCTTCACAAACACGCACTTTACCTCCAATGAAGTTGGTTCTCTTTTGTAGATCTATTAATATTCAAACTATGAGCCTAAATGATAATTACAAGAAACAAAGATTGTCAGAAGAACAGGTACTAAGCCCTACTTGCCTTGACAATCATGGGTTCAATGGTCGGCGCGTTCAAGAGGGATGGTGTCTTCTTGGCTTGATTTGGAATGTGAATGTTGATGAGGAGCTGTCAAATGAAAAAAAGAAAAGAAAATTGATTGTGATTTGGTCTGGGTAATGATAACGGATGAAATTGCTCACAATTTTATTGAGATTCTTTCTGATCTCTTTTGAAATGACATTGAGCCACTTTTGAAAGTCTTTTGATTCAACTGGGTCCGGATTTTGGCCAAAGCGGGCTGGAAGCAATCTTTTTTGCCATTCAGAGAGATTTTCAAG